TATTTAATTGAAGAGTGAAATATATTTTATAACTAGAAATCCGTTCCGTTTTTGCTACATGGGACTGGTAGAGGAAACTTTTACGGAACGGAACTAGAGAACGGAACGCTCATTATAGGGTACGTTCAGATTCCCTACCCGGGTGCACTTCTAGTATTAGAGTGCACCCTGGTAGGGAATCTGAACGTACCCATAGTAAGAAATCCGATCCGGCGTTCCGATCCGTGCTCAATGGGACGGCACCCTAAGGGGACTTTTTCATGGGAACATCGAGCGTCGAGCGTTAAAGCGGTAGCCAATCAACCACTTGCCAGTGCCACTTTCCGCAAGAACTACAATTATACTTCTAGAACCTGATACGTGATTGGCTAACGCTTTAACGCTCGACGCTGGAACACTCCCATGTATTGGCACCTTAACTTTGTCAGAGACAGCACAAGCGGATCAGATTATTCTAGGGAATTTTCTATATCGTCGGTTGGGTCTACTGTGCAATCCGTTTAGAAATCTGATTCGCTTGTCGTAAACACCCTGGTACATTTTGACGAAATCTGGTACATTTTTCTGGTACTAAAGTTTTCTTTTCGTCGGCAACACTGCTCAATGATGTGATTCGCCAATCATCAAGCTTGAAAAGTGCCGATTGTTGACTGTCGCGCGTACAGTCATTCGGTCCTGGTTGCGCATGAAAGAGAACCTTGAAATTATACCGTGAAAAAAGTCATGACATCGAAAACATTGTGCACGTAGCGACGAAATGAGACGAATCGTGTCGTGACGTTAAGAAACGTGGTTTGGTCGACTGAGGAACGCTCTCAAGGTTAAGTCCCGCCGATCTATCCATATATTCAAATGGTCTCGCGTTATAACCTTTGTCACGTATGCGTCCCTTATATCAGCTGATGAGTTCGACGTAACTGTGCTCACAGCAGTAGATTTCCAAAACAGTTCGCCCCTCACGATTGAAGGAAAAAGACGTTGTCATGGCAGATATTGCCTTAGGAGAGCTCAGCAGCGATCAGACTGAAAAAGTACTACAGTTCCAGGTACATAAATGTTTTTATTGTAATTTTGGCAATTCTTTCACGATTAACGACGTAACCATTATTTTCAGGACCTCACTGGGATCGAGGATTTGTCAGTATGCAGAGATGTTCTTCAGAGGCACAACTGGAACTTGGAAGTTGCAGTTCAGGTATCATATCTTATTTCACTGAATTTTGAATTTTACCAATATTTCTTTCTTCTTTGCAGTATAGTCCATCTGATAACAGCGAGATAAAACTTCATATCTATTTCTCATTGATAACAGAGAAGCAATAGCATATTGACTTATCATTGTTTGATTACTTCATCTTAAATTTTTGTTAATTTATTTTTGTATAATTCCAACAAATATCTTCTATATGCTATGCATATGAATAAGTAATCTTTTTATTTGTATTGACAACTTTTTATTGTAGGAACAACTAAACTTATATGAAGGCAGACCATCCATGTATGCACAAGACTCGCGGTCCCGTCCACCGCAGGTTGTAGATGACAGTAGTTCCAGAATTTATTTCAATTATCCTGGTAGCTCTGGTGGAGGTGGTGGTCTTTTGTCCTATATTTTGTCTATGTGTTATAACATAGTGAGCAGCATCCTACAGTTAGTTTTTGCAATATTTAGGACAAATGTTAGACCTGGTAAGTAACCCATGTCCCCTTGATTATACTTATACTACAAACATATTTAAATTAATCATTTTAATTTTCCTGTTTAAACCTGCTGTTTGATTCAATTGAAATCTTATACCATAAGAAGAAAAAGAGTAGAGTTTATATATACATATATATACATATAAGCACAGGTGTATAAATGTATGTATATTATCACTAAGAACAATGTAATTATCATGTGATTACTTTAGATATCTCCATCTAAAGAATGTTTTTCCAGTTGAGTTTTTTCCATGTTTTTGAGTTTTTTTTCTAGAAACTTTTATTCACATTATAATTTTGTATGTGTCTATAAATTTTAATTTACATTAATGTATATGCTCCATTGTTTACTATTTACCATTTTTCAAAATACTAATACCTAATAAGTTGTCTTGTATTTAGTGATATTTATAGTTATATATTTATTTATTTATGTTTGTTTATTTACTTTTAGAACTCTCTATAGACAGACTCCAATCTTTCTCTTTTTATTGTGATTTATCATTGTACAACCTTCTGAGTTTTTCCTTCACAATAATTTTTAAATTAAAAATAAATATTGATGATTGAAAGTTTGCTAGTTTTCCCTGATCGCATATATCAACTTACAATTCGTGCAACTAATCAAAGCCAATAAATAATATCTTCCAAGTGTCCTCCGATCCAGTGGAAGATGTAGTCAACTTTATTAGGTCTTACGAGGAGCGTTACGGTAACATTCATCCAGTATTTTACCAGGGCTCCTACAGCCAAGCTCTGTCAGATGCAAAGCAAGAATTAAGATTTCTATTGGTATATCTGCATAAAGATGAGGCACAAGACATCGACCAGTGGTGCAGGTAATCTCTCTCACAACGTTAGAATTATTTCTCAAACAGATATGAAAGATATGATCCATATGATTTGACGAAAACTTAATTTGTTTCTTTTAGAAATACATTATGCGATCCGGAAGTAATCCGATACATAAACATACATACCCTATTTTGGGCGTGTAACGTAAAATCCGGAGAAGGTTACAAAGTCGCTGAAGCACTGAAGTCGGGTTCTTACCCCTTCTTAGCGTTGATCGTGTTAAAAGACAACAGAATGACGATAGTTGGTCGGTACGTAAAAATAATCTATCGCACTTTGGATATGATTTTTGCATGCAGAAGCATAAGTTGTTGTTTCTTGAAACTTTTTTTTATTTTAAATTCAGTTTTTTTTCCTATTTCTATACAATTAAACGTTTAAAACTATAACAAGCTAATTTAGAAGAAATTATTTTCTTACAGAATGGAAGGTGCACCATCTTCCGCTGATTTAACGTCACGTTTACAAACGATCATAGAACGTAATGAAATTAATTTGATCCAAGCACGTCGGGAAAGGTAAAAATAAAATTATTTGTAAGACCAGTAGATTTCAATACTTAAAAAAGGTAGAGAATGCTAGTATTCGAGATTTTATATATATATATATATATATATATATATGTGTGTGTACCTTATAATTATATAATACGATTATATTTTAGGGCAGAACGTAGTGCTGCGCAATCTCTTCGACAACAACAAGATCGTGCTTACGAAGAATCGTTACGTGCTGACCAAGAAAAAGATCGCAGGAGAGAAGAAGAACGAAGAGCACGCGAGGAGCAAGAAGCCCGGGAAAAAGAAGAACTAAACGCGCAAGAACTAGAAATCCAACGTATACGACTTGAAAAAGAATTAACTGTTGACAAAGTGCCCCTCGAACCAGAACCATCAAATCCCAACGCATGTCACCTTCAGATCAAGTTTGGAGAAAGAACAATGAAAAGAAGATTTCTTATGACTGACACGGTTGAGGTAATCGTAAATATTAAGTATAAATTAAAAGTATAAATTAGAAACTGTTACCATTTGTATATATAATAAGAATTTATAATATATAATAAGAATTTATAATATATAATAAGAATTTATATAAATCATCTGTCCTCAAATCATTTTTTTGCAGAAGTGATGTATACAGTTTATAATGTATACAATACTGTATACATACAATAATTAATTTTTCTTTTCTTTTTTAGGATGTTTATCATTGGATATTTAGTCAACCAGATTCCCCAGCAAGTTTCGAAATAACAACAAGTTTTCCCAGAAGAATTCTATATCCTTGTAAAGACATTCTAACTCTGTTGGATGTTGGTTTAACTCATAGGGAGGTTCTTCACGTAAACGATCTAGACGATTAATTTTGATCGTTAATTTGGAGATACAGCATTTTTCGAATTTTAGTATCATTCCATGAAAAAATGATACTGTCATGAGAGACACTTATCAAGAGATATTGATACACATGTGGGACAGCATATACATACGTAAACACACGCATACACATGTATACATATAAAAGGAATATATACGTATATGCTGAATGTTTCTGAATGGCTAAACTTTAGAAATCGTCGTAAGGATATCGTATGAACATGAATCTAAAAAAGCATTTGCAAATCCATGTTTATGACGCTTCTTATAATGAATAAAATGTTCCTGAAATTTGGCCATCTATTTCAGAAACACACAGTACATATTTATATATACATATATATGTTTGATACATTCTAATATTTTACGTGAATTATAGTTTACTGGAAGGAAAATACAGTCACAAGGTAACGTCAGGAAATATACCAAAATGATAGGAATCAAAAAGTATGTCATATTATTGCTTATTAAAATTATCAGTGTTAACAAATTGGTACAGCTATTCAGTCACCACCGCACTTATCGAAAAAATGCATTTCGAATAGTAAAAACGCGATAGATAGGAATATGTATTAAATATTAAGAAATCATTATGTGAAGCGATCTCGTAAACAAAAGGAATATACAAGAAAATATTTCTTTTATATCTTCCGATTAAACGGTGTCTTGGTATTAAATGGCGATGTTACATGTATGTTCCGAACAAATTTCAGTACGTGGATAAATTTAAATGCATCTGGCATTTACATAAATTTATCCACGTATCTTCTTTGTTCGTTACATATATACATCACAAATATTTTGGTCTTATATAGATAAATATTATATAAAAAAAGCAGAACATTTTTTAATATGACCGTTATATACATATATATATAGCACAATCAGTTCCTTACTGACTAAATGCGCATATGTTCGTGATATAGTTTAACGAAACTAATATTAACGGTGAATAACGAATTTTATGAATTATAGTATGTAAGTTTCAAGTTCCAATAGAACAAAGAATTTTTATCGACCAATTGAATCATTACAATTTAATAGCATTTATAAATAATATTTTTTGTTCGAATGAAAAATGATTCCTAACATTTGCGACCATTATTAGTACGTATATTATACTAATGTCTGATGTGTGTTGTTCTGAAATGTGATGTAAAAGAAGCATCGAATCTTATCGGTTATCAATCAACACAACTGTCTCTATAGATGATAATAACACTGTTGTAATTTCATATAATTATTTCTGCTGTTTTCTCTTAAGTTCTGTTTTAAGTTCTCTTTTTCGTTCTTACGATATAACGCACGACAAATGAATATAATATATTTCAGTCTTGATTGCCAAATGTTCGTAGTTGATTTATTTCTTTTTTTTCAGGAATTTTACATGCTATATATATATATATTTGCACTCACAAATGACTATGTACAAATTTCTTTTACATATACCATGCAAGTAGGGATAGGAGTAAATACAATATGTCACGAATCTTCAGTCAAATCAATAGAGTGTACCAAAATTGACAAATTGTTATGATTTTTGGGCCAGTTTTCTTGATGCTTTGCTCTAAAAGTGAATGTATTTGAGATACAGTGAATATTTACCCCACGAATAATGAATGCCAAGATTGTAGCTTTCTTCAGCTTTTCAAATAATTTCTATTTTATTAATAAAGCCCAAAATATTTCATAAACATTTATCAACTCTGGCAATGGTACACGATAGCTGAGATAAAATTCTTTTTCGATGATTTTTCGTATTTACCGGAAGATCTTTGAATGAGGCTGTCTTGTCTACTTTACACATTTTATTTTGTATGTGTCTTAGGTTTCGGTGATGATTTTCCTTTCTTTCGTTGCGCTTGACTGTGAGCGCGCAAAATGTTAAATACTTTATTATCTAATTTTACATCAAACCCACCTGTATCCCCAGTACTAATACCAGGGGGAAATTGTAATACGCGACATGCGTTTAACCGGGAAGACCTTAACATATCGTGCTTTGTAACTATCTGAGAACCTCCTTCCACCTTCTTGTAACCACAACGTGGTATCGAAGCTTGTTCTTTTTCTATGCTCTGGAAAATGTAGAATATATTATATTTTGTAACAAGTAATATAATATATAAACAAGTCCATGGTCTATACAATATCTATTTGTATATACATGAGGTATTTTATAAATTTAAAAATATGCATGTCTGCATATAGCACTTACGACAAAACGATCGAAGTCTCTGTTACTGTTGTCAGAGTCAACATTATCTTCATCCTTGATGTCATATGAAGAGGTTCGATAATTAGTGTACGAGATACCCACTAAAATAAGAGAAATAATTTGATATAATTTAAGATGATCAAATATAAAGAGAATCATGATGATCCTCATTACCTTTGGAATCACGATTAACTTTTTCTTCCATACGTTTTAGCATCATATCATGCTCTTCGTTGAATTGATGTTGTAATATATTTGCTATTACTTCATCGTTGTCAGCATCACTTACTTCATCTTTTTGTTCGTCTGCTTGTATTATATTTCTATTGTCTTCGTTTAAATATTCATTTAACTTCCTAGCATATTCATGCAATTTTAGACATAAAAATGTTAAGAGCTTCAAATAATAATGAAAACTAACATGCTCAAACATGATTAAAGATATAGATCAAAGTATATATATACTATTGTGCATTTTAGTCTAGCAAATCTTATGTAAACAGAATTTTTAGCAGTATATAATCATGTACTTTATAGTATGCAGACAATTTTATAAAGCTCCTGTATGTAAATTTATGCAGAAATGACAGAAACACAAGTTTCATAGACAATACTCACATATCTTGCATTTTCACGTCAAGTTGTTCTGTTGTAATATCCGATAAATTGAGAGGATTTTCTACCGGTTGTATTTTTGCCCACGTCTTCGGAGTTGCCATTATTTGCAAAATTACTCTTGTTATCGGTAAAAACCAATAACATTTAAGATCGTATGCACACACGATTAAGCACGACACGCAGAGGTTAAGTATGTGACACAAGAACGTGCAATATCAAACTGTGTACCTCGAAACTCCTCTTCTCCTCTTGTGCGCACGTGAAAATACCATCGAGAAACGTTTGTTACATCAGCGTATATCACTGAGGAGACACTAGTAAAGACCAACCTGACAGTAGGAACACGACCTTTAGATAAATAGCTAGATCTAAAAGCATACAGTAAACCTTGAGCGCTCGCTATGCCATCGTTATACGCTGCCAATATTTAGTCTACAATGCACAATATTAATTTTATGATTTATTATAATTTATTATTACATATTTATTATCCACTTCTGTATCTCGTGACTTGTACAGATAACAAACATCGAACAATCGATACAGTCTGTCGTATCAACAGTGTCATGTCGGTAATGTCAGTGTCATATTGCTCCAAAAAACGTTTATAATTTATTATTATATATTTATGTATTTTTACACATACACATATATGACTATCATAAACGTTGTTTTAAGTTACTGTTTCTTTTTATTCTGGACACATTGTTTCCCGTATATGCATCTAAACTAGCAAATATTTCCTTACTGTTTAAAGCACAATGGAGCTTTCCAATAGATGCATGATATTCAAATAAACAGATATTCAAGTAAACATTACATGATATTCAAGTAAACAAAATACTGCTTTAAAACGGTATATTAAAACGATGTAGCAGTCTTGCAAATTGCACTCCAATTTGCAATTGTCAAGGATCACACACATAAATATACTCGTATACACACTTCTAGTTATTATTAATTTATTCCAGTAAATCTAATACATACACAAACGATTTTTTTTTGTAGTATTTTGTAATATTCCATCGCTTCCCTCAAATTGTTTTTCAAATTCCATAGCTAAACTTTAAACTAATCTTAAAAACTTAGCTATGCCAAAACAATGATTTGGCAAATTTACATTAACGAGAAAACAAAGTAGATTCTAGTTTCTGAAACAGGTAGAAAAGACTGAACAGTATGTATGCTTATTTAAGGTTGTCGGTATCTGTTACAGTTGCATTTAATTGCTCTAAAATAATGCATGGGGTATGTGTCTCTCAATTTACAAATTTAGTCCGAATATATTACTGGGTGTTTTTATAAATACAATGACAGTATGTACAAATATTATTAATGTATGTGTACATATGGATCAAAGAGCTTTTAGATTCGTTATTTGTAACCATGCAAACGCCAAAATGCATCCTTCCAAGCAATTGATTTTAGAAAAATATCTAAAATAAAAAATCTTTATACACACAAAGTGACAAATAGCTTGCACTTTCTTGTAATAAAATGCATTTAGAAGAAAAAGGAGAAAGTAAAGAATAATTCATTTTTCTTGTTATTGTTGATAATATTAAGTGATTAAAAATAATTTTCCAATATTCTAAAAAAAACTGCACAGAAAAACTGATCTGCATCGTATTTAATTATATAACCCATGCATTACAATAGAATACGTGCTATTTTTTTTTAGTGGATTCAAACGTGTAAAAAGGAATGGCAAAGAAGTGTCTCACCGCAATTACCGGTATACGCAGTAATCATGTACTCTAGTGCATAATTAACTGTTGAGTAATAACCAGACACCAATGTTTCGATCAACTCGATCTATTTTAGTAGTTGTATAAACATCAATTAAAAACGATGTTAATTACAAAAGGAAAATCAAATTAACGCACATACAAAACAAAAATTACCTGTATAAATTCTGTGTTGCGCGTATTTGTCCACTATCTTTCATTAAATCGTTATATCCAGATGATAAGCTACATCAATTTCTGATTATAAAGTACTTAATTATTTACTACTACATATGATTAATGTATATTAAGATAATTACAATAAAACTCGCTTATCATTTCTTTTTACGTTTGAATTCGCCTTCAAAAGAGCCGTATTTGACGTTTATATTGGTTTTTTGTTTTTCTTTTAACGGCACTGCCGAATGTCAGTCTTGACTAAAGTGATTGCCGTGGATTTGCTGCAATGGACACATATAATTGTTGCATCATAAACAATATAAAATTGAAGGAACCACAGCAGGCCTTAAAATATCATGAATGTTCTGAATGTTTCCGCGCGTAAACTATTGTCGCGAATTTCGCGAATAAATTACAAGTGACAGACTACTTGAAGTAGCGCACCTTAAGACAAGATAAAAATTCGAGCATTTTAAACTAAAAAACTAAATTTAAATAGATTTAAGTAAATAATGTGTGTTTACTATTACATGCAATGCATTAGACTCTAGAGAGAGAGAAAGAGAAGGGAAAGAGGGAGAGAATATAAATCATATTCTTAAAAGATACTTAAAGAGATAATCTATGTCGCTTCCTATAAAGAACGCATGTATAAATACAAAATGTGAAATCTCGAATCTAGATGCCAAATGTACACGTAATAAATACAGAAGTAATGCAAATTCGATTGTAAAATATTTACGTCTTCACTTGGGGCATCTCTTCGTATTCTTTTCTAGAAAAATTCAGCTAAAAACTGCAATTTACGAAAAATAATGTTACAGCGCAAACGATTCTCACTGGATAGTTCAATTTGCGCTATTTTGTGTCCATGTTTGAGCCATCGTATCCCAACACTTAATATTCAGGCTGTAAAGTAAACGAGATTTAGTTATACAAAATTGAACATTATATCAATAGAGATAATTACTTGAATGTTATTACATTAATATGATTATATTTTAATAACATTATTATATAGGGGAAAAAAATAAAAAATATCTATAATATAAAATCGCGGTAAACGGAAAATATTCAATTAAAACCAGATTTAATTAAATGCAATTACGATATAAAAGAAATGATATGCAATAGTTTGAAATGCCTAATCAAGCATATTTTTTAAGTAAAATTTAAAATAACCATACATATATCTACGTATCTTCTGCAACTGCATTTAGGTTTTAACTCTTTTTTTTACTGTAATATTATGATAATATATTACAAGCAACTGTTACCATTATCTTAACGTTATTACAAATTCACTACAAACCTGTAAATCCTTGCGGTGGTTGGCCTGGTACTGAGTATTGTGGTCGAAAATTGCCGAAATTAGCGGCACCGGCGAAGGTGGCCGGTAACTGTCCTCCTGAGAAACCTGCTGGAAATTGCTGTGCCAATAACGCAGCTTGACCCGACTGAGTACTGCTTCCGCCAGGTGCTGTGGCTGCAAGTCGGCTCAGTATTGACCTCTCTGACATTTGCAGTCTTTGAGCAACTGGAGGAATGCGAGCCAATGTTGCTGGCAAGCGACTTACATCTGATTTCATATCAGAAAGTAATTCTTCCAGCTGATTTAACACCTATGAAAACCAATATATTCGTATCATTAATCTGCTATTTTAGATCAAATATGAGATGTCAGATTGAAACCAATTTTTTTTTCTAAAATAAATAAACTCAATAGCAGTTGATCAATGCAAAGTATCTTTATAACAAAAAACCAACCTTAAGTGAAATGTCACCAACCTTATGTAACACCGCATTGGCAGGTTTATTACCCGCGAGGCTCTCCTTGCTCAAATGTTGGTGGGATTCGGCGAGACACTCAACTTCGGCAAATCGCGCGTTAAGACTCATAGCAGGATGATTTGGATCCTGTGTTAAATTCAGATAGGCAGCTCGCCTCAACTGTTCTTCAATTACTAACGCCTGTTCCAAAAGTTTGAAACGTCTCGCCAGGAACTTATTTTTTATCTCTAAAAAGTTTCCTTTCCCCACATCCATCTTGAATGGTTCATTGATGATCGCAAATCTATAATTTTTATATATATATATATATATATATATATATATATATATATAT